GGGGCCATTTGGGTGGGCGCAGCGTCGCGGTGGCTGGCGGGAGCGGCTGTCACAGAAGAAGCACTGGCGCTACCTCTGTGTGACATGGGCAGGTTCGTCATCCTTGCACATACGCAGGCTCCCCGTGCCGCCGTACCTGTGTCCCTTTGGGGTTCCGTAAAGATGCATAATCCCAGTGTGCATCCTGGTCAGCGCTTGATCTCCGTGCTATCTTGTGGCAGTGAGTTCCGCAGGCTACCGTGCACACGGTGTAAGAGTGTCCTTGCTCCACAGGCCGATGTCCTGCCTTTCCATGGCACTGAACGTCGTCTTTTGGAAAATGACCCAGGGTTAACGAGCTTCCCTTCTTCACGTCATCCATGCGGACATCCCTTCGCACCCCTCCGCATCGCCTCCCTCCCTGCCCTGTCAAGCTCTGTCGCCCGCAACCCTGCCCTCTGGCCCTGCCTGCGTGCCACAGCAGGCGGTTCCCCTTCACTGGCGAGTGGGGCCGAGCCAAGCCCCAGCCTTGCAGCTGCTCCCGGCGCTGCACAGACCTTCCATCCGCTCTTGGACGCTGCACTCCGCTCCTGCTCCTGTTGCGGCCACGGGCCACGCACCCCAAAGGCCACTGGCCTCCAGCTGGGGGCGTTGCCGCCCTGGCCACGTGGGTCTACGGAGGGACTTTGGGGCCTGTTTTTCGGCTCCCGGGTCTGGACGCTCTGGCCTCCATTTGAACTACCTGGCTATTGCGATGAAACTCTTGTGGGACACCTCAGTGGCCCCCATTTTACTTCCTCCAGTGCAGGTGCAGTTTCTGCCCCCAGGGAGGGGGCCCACCTGAGGAATCTCCCTCCGGCAGGCAGGGCCGGGGTGTCTGGCGGGGGTGAGGCGCTGGTGTCTGTTCGGGGGTGTTTCACTCACACCTTGGTGTGGCTGGGCTGGGCTGTGTGGCCGTGGGCCCAGGAAGCCGCCCTGGAGGCCCGCCAGTGGGCTCCATCGCAGTGTTCGCCTGGCGCAGGCAGGGGAGACGGATGCCTGGTGCCTGGGCTGGAGGGACACAGGGGGCTGGGCCGGCGCGAGTTCTCCCAGCAGGGCGTGGGGATGGTGGCCCAGGGTGCTCGCCGTGGCGGGGGCAGCCTGGGATTTGATAAACTCCTGGGGCACACTCCCAAGCCAGCTTGGACACGGTGGAAAGCCACGGAAGAGCCACTAACACAGCGTGCGACGGCCCAGCCACGCCGTCCTTGCACTGACACCCCTGCCCCAGAGCAGCCACGGGCTGGCCCACGCCGGGGTGAGAGCTCTTAGCTGTGGCGGTCGGGATGGTACCCTTAGACCTGCGACGGCCCCAGGCTCCCTTCTGGAGCAGGCCCCGCGCGGCGATGCCACAGCCTGTTCACCGGGGTAAAGACGAGCTGCCGGAGCGGCCAGAGGTTGGCGGAGCAGAAATGAATTGTGGTCTGAAGCCTGACCAGGCATCACCAGAGCTGCAAAGGAGAAATGGCCCCAGTACAGGGGGAGGGGATGTTTTAGCCGCTCACTGGTTATGCTGAGGCTCAACCGAAATTGACATTCTGAAATCCCGCCCCTGCTGCAGCTGGGAACCAGCCCGGCACATCCCTCCTCCTCACTGCCTCTCCCGCGCCTCCTGCCACAGGAAACTCAGGGACCGAGTGGAAACCTCGACCAAACTCCCCAACTAGGATCAAAATCCCAACTCCTGTCCTCTGCCCCCTTCGGCCCCCTCCCTCCGCTCCCTCGGTAGTAAATGGTGACCCCGGGACCCGCAAGATGAAGTTAGCAAACTTTCTGTTCCTTTTCCTCCTCCAAGTCTGTTTCCTGTGGAGAGGGACGCGGGCTCAGCAGACGCAGATAATCGACCGAGGTGAAACCTTTCAAGGTAAGAACGTTGCTTTGCGGTGAACTTGCTTCCCGTTCCCTTCCCCTTCCCCGTCCTGTCATGTTACGAGCAGGCTCTGCCTCCCGAGCTGCGCCCCTCATCCTTCTGCACGGGCGCCTCCGGCTGCTCAGCCTGCGGGGCTTTCCGCTTGCCGGGACGTTTCACTTCGGATGCCTGCTGATTAGCTAGTCCTTACTGGGGTATCGGGAATCTCCCCTCTTCAGCCCACTGCTCTGAGCCATTTCCCCGTTACCCTCACCTCTGTGCCTCCCTCATGGGGCGTCATTAGCAAACCAGGGGAGTCGAAGCGAGGCCTGTGCAGGACAGTATTCTGCATGAGTTACCGATCTCTGGCTAGAATGTGTTCAAAAGCTGCCCAAATGGGGTACTGCCAGACTACAGGCTTTTGTCAACGGAGGCTTTGTCGACAGATACTGACGACAAAGCTTCAGTCAACAAAGAGCATCTAGACGACATCCAGTTCTGTCGACAAAACCCTGTAGTCTAGACACGCCCACAGTGTCTAGATTTTCCCTTCAATTGTACTAGTATTTGGTCCTGTTGCAAAAGAAATCCTTTGTCACAGGCTGTTTGCTCTTCTTTAAATAGAAAATACATACAAGAGAGACAGGAGCGCTACATGGGGGCGTTCTTTTAAACAGTGTCTGGCTGATGTTTTATTGAGCTGACTTAATTCATCTCTCGGTATAAAGCCGAGACGCCTAGGAAAACAATCTCTCATTTAAACATCACAGCCATAAACGTAAAGAAAAATACCACGGTTGCTCTGGGTTTGCTTGGCTGGTTTGAAAAAAGCTGTTTCTTTTTAGATTCGATGTTGGCTTTAATCTATTGCATCCAGGTTCTGTTTTAACCCGGCCTAGCACCAATGCCACCAGTGTGTGTGTGTGTGTAACGCTGGTGCCTGGCAGCTGCACCGTGGGAGAGAGAGTGTGTAAGAGGGTGCTAGAGACTGGCCTGCGTGTGTGCTCTAGGGAAGGCGCTCATTATAGCGCTCGAATCCACGTTGCACGGAAGCCCCTCGTGGCCTGGGCCGCTGGTGTAGCCACAGCACGTCTCACGCCCTTTCTCTGGCTTTGAGCAGACTGCCCGGTCGACCTGTTTTTTGTGCTGGACACATCGGAAAGCGTTGCTCTGCGGGTGAAGCCGTTCGGAGCCCTGGTGACGCAGTTGAAAGATTTCACCAACCAGTTCATTGACAGGCTGACCGACAGGTAAGGGGAGTGGCCGTGCATGCTACTGCTGCCCCGCGTGTCTCGTGGCACGTCCCGGGGTGCTCACGCCTGGTCGTGGCAGCAGAATGGAAAGTGACCCCGGCAGGACTGGGACGCTGCTTGGGTCTTTGTGTTTTGCACGAGGAGAGAGTGCACAAGAGAGAGGCCAGGGCCTGGCGCTGTGACCAATGGGAGAGGCTGAGGAGATTGTACTGGTGAGATTAGTGCTCTCCTGTGTGGCATGGGAGCGCTGCACTTCTCCATCCCCGTCTGCAGGTGGCGACGTTCGTCCAACAATGGGGTGGGGGTGTAGCGGCGTTGAGTCCCACCCGCAGAGCTATCCTCTGGGGCCGCCGGGCACGAAGCCAGGGCTGGGTCCCAGGGCTTGGCGTAACTCCGGCCTCCCCTTAGAGCCAAAGCAGAGCCCGGCCTTGGTTTCACGCACCGTCAGCTGCACTCTGCAGGCCCTCTGCTGGGGATGGGCCATGCCCTGTGGTTGCTCCCCTGCCGGGGTGCCAGGCCCAGGAACCGGCCAGTGGGAAGGGCACAAAGACCAGCGGCCAACCTGCCCCTGCGGCCCACAGGCATTTGCCAGCAGCAGCCAGCGCCCTGCGCGGTGGGGGGCAGCCATGCCAGCACCAGCCAGCGCCCTGAGGGGGGTGGGGCAGCCATGCCAGCACCAGCCAGCGCCCTGAGGGGGGTGGGGCAGCCATGCCAGCACCAGCCAGCGCCCTGAGGGGGGTGGGGCAGCCATGCCAGCACCAGCCAGCGCCCTGAGGGGGGTGGGGCAGCCATGCCAGCACCAGCCAGCGCCCTGAGGGGGGTGGGGCAGCCATGCCAGCACCAGCCAGCGCCCTGAGGGGGGTGGGGCAGCCATGCCAGCACCAGCCAGCGCCCTGAGGGGGGTGGGGCAGCCATGCCAGCACCAGCCAGCGCCCTGAGGGGGGTGGGGCAGCCATGCCAGCACCAGCCAGCGCCCTGAGGGGGGTGGGGCAGCCATGCCAGCACCAGCCAGCGCCCTGAGGGGGGTGGGGCAGCCATGCCAGCACCAGCCAGCGCCCTGAGGGGGGTGGGGCAGCCATGCCAGCACCAGCCAGCGCCCTGAGGGGGGTGGGGCAGCCATGCCAGCACCAGCCAGCGCCCTGAGGGGGGTGGGGCAGCCATGCCAGCACCAGCCAGCGCCCTGAGGGGGGTGGGGCAGCCATGCCAGCACCAGCCAGCGCCCTGAGGGGGGTGGGGCAGCCATGCCAGCACCAGCCAGCGCCCTGAGGGGGGTGGGGCAGCCATGCCAGCACCAGCCAGCGCCCTGAGGGGGGTGGGGCAGCCATGCCAGCACCAGCCAGCGCCCTGAGGGGGGTGGGGCAGCCATGCCAGCACCAGCCAGCGCCCTGAGGGGGGTGGGGCAGCCATGCCAGCACCAGCCAGCGCCCTGAGGGGGGTGGGGCAGCCATGCCAGCACCAGCCAGCGCCCTGAGGGGGGTGGGGCAGCCATGCCAGCACCAGCCAGCGCCCTGAGGGGGGTGGGGCAGCCATGCCAGCACCAGCCAGCGCCCTGAGGGGGGTGGGGCAGCCATGCCAGCACCAGCCAGCGCCCTGAGGGGGGTGGGGCAGCCATGCCAGCACCAGCCAGCGCCCTGAGGGGGGTGGGGCAGCCATGCCAGCACCAGCCAGCGCCCTGAGGGGGGTGGGGCAGCCATGCCAGCACCAGCCAGCGCCCTGAGGGGGGTGGGGCAGCCATGCCAGCACCAGCCAGCGCCCTGAGGGGGGTGGGGCAGCCATGCCAGCACCAGCCAGCGCCCTGAGGGGGGTGGGGCAGCCATGCCAGCACCAGCCAGCGCCCTGAGGGGGGTGGGGCAGCCATGCCAGCACCAGCCAGCGCCCTGAGGGGGGTGGGGCAGCCATGCCAGCACCAGCCAGCGCCCTGAGGGGGGTGGGGCAGCCATGCCAGCAGCAGCTGGCAGCTGGGAGCTACCTATGGTTCCCCTTCTGCACCCCCAGTCAGTACCCCCTCCTATCCCCAGACTCCTCCCAGAGCCTGCTGCAGTGGTACACGGCCGGGCTGAGGAGGCTCAGGCTGCAGAGCCACCCTACAGTCCCATCAGGAAGGGAGCAGAGTGAGCCGCAGTGGTTGGGCCGGGCTGGAGACAAGCCTCCGGCTACACGGCAGCAGCCCCACAGCGACAGCACGACAGCGGGTGGGGCAGCCAGACGGCTCCTGTGGCCGTAACAGAGTCAGGTGCCATGTGACTGCGGCACCGCCCCATAGTCACACCCATGCATATGCAGCCCCATCGTGTCCCCCCCCCGCTGCTCATCCCCTTTTCACACCCATGTGTTCACACCCGTGGCTTACCCCCATCATCGCACCCCACTGATCACCCCATCGTCACACCCCACTGCTCACCCCATCATCGCACCCCACTGCTCATCGCCTTTTCACACCCATGTGTTCACACCCGTGGCTCACCCCCATCATCGCACCCCACTGATCACCCCATCGTCACACCCCGCGGCTCATCCCCTTTTCACACCCATGTGTTCACACCCCACTGCTCATCCCCTTTTCACACCTTTTCAAGTCTGTGGGCTGGATGGATCTCTGCCTGGTTGGGCTGTGCACTGTGAATCCCCTGGCAGCTGGTGCCTTTGTCGGCTCGCCTGAGCGCTCTCTCTAAACAGCTGGTCACCGTGTTGGCACTTGGGCTGGGAGGGAGTCGCCCGTCATCTCTCCCTTGCACCAGAGAGGTGTGTTCGCACGGGCAAGCTGCGCTCCAGCTGTGCCAGTCACCACGGAGCCTCTTTTCCCCTCCCGGGACCCTTCCCCGTATTGCATGAGGACAGGCCTGTAGGAAGGGCCTGGCATGGCTGGGCTCTCAGGCAGAGGCTCCACCGTCCACCAAAAAGCCGAGTGCAACATGCTCCGGACGTCACGGACTGGCAGGGGCCGTGGCGGGGGAGGGGAGGAATCGAACGCAGGTGCGCTGCACTACAGCGATGAGGTGGTGCTGATCCAGGGGCTGGAGCGTATGCCCGCCATGCGCAATGAACTGAAGAGGAAGGTGACTGCCGTGGACTACATTGGGAAAGGCACCTACACCGACTGCGCCATCAAGAGAGGCATCGAGGAGCTGCTCATCCGGTGAGCGAGAGCCAGGCCGGCGGAGAGGGAAGGCTGGGGGCCGGGAGGAGCCTTGTCTTGGTGCCGGGACAGCCCGGCTCTGCTGCCGCCTGGCTAGGCGCAGCTTGGCAGCTCTGTGCTGGAGGGGCCCACTGGTCCCACTGCACCGTGGCCTCCTCCCGGGCACCACGCCCTGCTTCTCCAGGGCTGGGCCTGAGTGGGCCCCCATGCGTGGTATGGCCACTGGGGACCCCAGCACTCTGCCATGGCCCCCATGTTTAGCTGCACCCCGGCCGGGCCCCGCTGCGCTGGGCAGGGCTGCGTCACTGCAGCGCACACCAGCTGGCTGTTGCTCTAGGTGGAGCCGCCGCAGGGCAGGTACTCGTGCCCCGCTCAATACGTGGGAAAAGGG